TGGAAAGTTGACTGCAGCTTTTAATCTAGACGCTCAGGCTCCATTGCTAATTCACTACTTCCTCTGTCTACTTACCCCCACTTTTCTGCCAGGAAGGCTTCACCATCATCTCTACCCAATGAGTTTTTATCCACTTCATCTAGTTTATCTGCTGATAGTCCTCAAGGTTCAGTTGTTTTTCCACTGTTATTTGCAATTTATCTGATTTCACACCTGACATTATATCTTGCTGTGATATACAGTTGTCCGGCTATTGTTTATCTAGTCAAAGTGTATTTTTCTGCTTCAACTTTTCTCCCTCTCTTGGAAGTTGTGGATTGCGTCTATAACATCGCACAATCTGATGTCTGCAAATCATCCACAAAAACGCAGAGATGAGACCTAATTCATTACCATTCATGTTACCCTCACTTGGGAGGAATTTGGGTCAAATTGCTTTGCCCTTGGATGGCGCTTCCTTTTAATTTTAAGCACTCTTTCTTCTCCTCTCTCTCTTTCTTATTCCCACCACATCAATTTCTTCTCTGATTGGAAGACCATTTCTACTATGGTAGGCATAGTGTAAATATTTTATTTTGGTGATTTGTTCAGCGAGATCTATGCAGAGTGAAGACAAAATGCCGACTGAAGTCCCTGTGTGTGAAGAACACCGTGTTCAGCTTTTTACTCCCACGGCAAATTATTTGCTTAAGTAAGGGTTTATTCCTTGATTACAGCTCTTATTATTGAGATCATGTTTGAATTTCCCAGGTGTGTTTTGAATTTCACAATCTTGCACTGTACTCTCCAGAACTAGTCTCAGAAAATATATTTGCATGTGCTTTCAGAGACGGAGTCCTTACCTGGAGGAGTTACCCTGGGAATAAAGGGCTACACAGGAACACAGTATCTGGGCACGTTAATTATTTTTCCTGACTGAGGCTATTTGCTGGCTGTTAACTGTGATAGCGACATCTATTAAGTGTCATACTGTTTGTTTTAGGAGATAGCCACTCTTGAGTTGCAAGATCTTAGAGGATAATGAAGTGAATAGGTGAACATGGAATAAGCTATATTTGATTCATTCATCTAAGACATATACATTGAGTACCTATGGTATGCCAAGAGAAACGCTAAGTATGGGGATCCAGAAATGAACAAGAGAAGTAGTCAGTCTATAAGGGACATCTAGGCAAGCAATTATAACATGGTGATAAGCCCTCTGACAAAATGCTGCAGGAGCCTTGAAGATGGAGTTACAAATTGCCAAGGGGTGCTGGGGATAACGTGACAAAGAATGAGTTTTGTGAGTGACTGAGAGCATGTCAGAGAAAGCGGGCCGCTGCACTCCGGAGACAGGCAGCCCTCAAGTGTGGAGCAATGACAGGCAGTGCAATGGGACCAGGCAGGATGTGGGTGGGGGTCAGAGGGAGGAAAGGGGGCATCTCGGGAAAGGACAAGGGCCTGACAGCTGATGGTGTCACACTTCCTCCTGTGTGAGGGTCTGGTGTCTGATTCAGGCTGCCTCCTAGTGAGACAAGGGAAGGGGGAAATCATGGACCTTGCAAAGGGGCAGCGACAAAATTTAATGCACCCAAATAACTCAGCCACTCCTTACATAGGATTCTGATTTTCTCTCGGAAATTCTGCAGCTGGTTCTCGAGCTCAGATTTCTCTTCTGGCTTTGCCTTTCCCATTTGGCTGCCACAGATCTGGGGACTTACCACAGGGTTTGGTTATTAACTTTGCTTCACAGAATTCCTTTTTCTGCTTAGGTGACCCTGGCTTGTATTTATCTCTGTCTATTATCTATCTATCTATCTATTCATCTATCTATCTCTGCTGATCTATTCATATCCTCTCATATAACCCTTTTGATTCAAGGCTATGGTTTCATTTTCCCATCTTAGCAGTGACTATGTATGGTAGAGCTCAGTACTATCCCGGGAACAGAGAATCAGAATGGGCAAAGAACTCTCTTAATAGGGCTTATTGATATCTACTCATAAAAGGAAATGGGTGGGGTTTATTTAACTTTGTCAAGAGTCATACTATTCTGGCATGAGGATAGATGGGAAGATGTAAAGTGATAATAGTAATGACATCTGAAAGGAAAGTTTTCCTTGCAATACCAAATAAGGGCAAAGCCAAAGAATGTTCAAAATACTGCACAATTGCACTCACTTCACATACTAGCAAGCCAATGATCAAAATCCTTCAAGCTAGGCCTCAACAGTACGTGAACTGAAAACTTTCAAATGTACAATCTGTATTTAGAAAAGACAGAGGAACCAGAGATGAAATTGCCAACATCTGCTAGAAGAAGCAAGAGAATTCCAGAAAAGTTCTACTTCTGCTTCACTGACTACAAAGCCTTAGACTGTGTGGATCACAGCAAACTGTGGAAAATTCTTGATGAGATGGGAATACCAGACCACCTGACCTGCCTCCTGAGAAATCTGCATGCAGGTCAAAAAGCAACAGTTAGAACTGGACATGAAACAACTGACTGGTTCCAAATCGGGAAAGGAGAACATCAAGGCTGCATATTGTCACCCTGCTTATTTAACTTATATGCAAAGTACATCATGAGAAACTCTGGGCTGGAAGAAGCACAAGCTGGAATCAAGACTGCTGGGAGAAATATCAATAACCTCAGATATGCAGATGACACCACCCTAATGGCAGAAAGCAAAAAGGACCTAAAGGGAAAAAACAGAACTTGATGAAGATGAAAGACAAGAGAGAAAAAGCTGGCTTAAAACTCCACATTCAAAAACCCAAGATTATGGCATCCAATCCCATCACTTCATTGCAAATAGATGGGGAAACAATGGAAACAGTGACAAACTTTATATTCTTGGACTCCAAAAATCACTGTGGATGGTGACTGCAGCCTTGAAATTAAAAGACATTTGTTCCTTGGAGGAAAAGCTATGACAAACCTAGACAGTGTATTAAAAAGCAAAAACATCACTTTGCCAACAATGGTTCATATTGTCAAAGTTACAGTTTTTTCAGTAGTCATGTATGGATGAGAGAGTTGGACCATAAAGAAGGCTGAGCACCAAAAAATTGATGCTTTTGAACTCTGGTGCTGGAGAAGACTGTTGAGAGAGAGTCCCTTGGACAGCAAGGAGCTCAAACCAGTCAATCCTAAAGGAAATCAGTCCTGAATAGCCATTGGAAGGACTGATGCTGAAGTTAAAGCTCCAATACTTTGGCCACCTGATGCAAAGAGCTGACTCATTGGAAAAGACCCTGATTCTGGGAAAGACTTAGGGCAGGAGGAGAAGGGGGCAACAGAGGATGAGATGGTTGGATGGCATCATTGACTGAATGGAAATCAGTTTCAGCAAATTCAGGAAGATAGTGAAGGACAAGAAAGCCTGGTGTCCTGCAGTCCATGGAGTCGCAAAGAATTGGACATGACTGAGTGACTGACCAACAACAACACTATCACTGGTAAATAGTACAGATAGATTTTAGAGAGTAAGGGAGCTTTTCAAGTACTAGATATGAATGATATTGGGAGATTAAGTGGAATCATTGTAAGTAGCATGAAAGAAGTAGAAGAAAATAATAGGTTTGGTAAGTTATGATGCTTAGATTCTTTCATTTTTTAAATCACCAGTTCCCTTCCTTCTACCTTCTCAGTCGTATCAAGAGTACCATCAGAGCTAGGGTTCAGAATATAAAAAGAGAGCTGAGGGGAATGTCAATCTTGCATTATCTCTGGAACCCAAAGCATGTTAAAAATTTTAAGCCAGTGGTTGGCTCACAGAGACAGAAGCCAACTGTCAGGTGAAACTGCATCAGTAGGGGGATGGAGGCTAGACTTGAGGAAATGGGGTTGCAAGGCACTAAAATAACACAGTGAGGGCATTAGATTTCTCTCCATGGAAATCTGTTAGAAGAGGGAAGAAAACCATCTGTCTGGAAAAGTGTAAATATAGTCATGCATATGCCCAGGGGATGGACTTGTTTTTTTCCTCTTAAACAATATTAACTAAAAGTTTTATGTAAAAACCCTATCAGTACTTACTTCCACATTGTTGCAACCAGAAAGTACTTTGTATTCTGCTTTATCTTCCCATTATTTCATTTACTTAACACTATAGCAATAGCATCTTTCATAATTCTACCTAGTCTTCAGAGTTTTTTTAATGGCTATGTAATACCCCAAAATATTGTTGGACTGTTAATTTAATAATGTATCTCAAGTTAGCTTTGTAAATCCCTTTCTAGCTTCATACTGTGTATTTTATGGACTTCTTAATTCCTCTATTCTATCCAAATTAGTCTTTTCCTTTCTTGAATATTTTTATACTTCCTTCTACAACCATCCCACAACCACCAGCAGAACGTACACTAAACTTCATCTCTGCTGATCTGTAGGGAGGAAACATGATATGATGGTAAAGCTTCCAGTGTCACACCAGAAATCACAATTTCAGTTTTTGTCACTTACTAATTGTGTGATCTTGGAAACGTTACCTAATTTTGCCAAGCTTTTTTTTTTAATCTTGAAAATGCTTCAGGTATAACATATAATTACATATACCTTGAAACTAAAAGTTAAAGTATTAGTCGCTGGGTCCTGTCTCACTCTTTGGGACACCATGGACTGCAGCCTGCCAGACTCTGTCCATGGGCTTCTCCAGGAAAAAATACTGGAGTGGGTTGCCATTCCCTTTTCCAGGGGATCTTCCTGACCCAGGGATGAAGCCCAGGTCTCCTGCATTGCAGGCAGATTCTTTATGGTCTGAGCCACCAAAGAAGCCTTGTATATACCTTAAAGGATTGTAATTATATATACTATATGTATCTTAAAGGGTTGTATAAGGATTGAACACAATTTGTAAAGCACTTGCTAGAGTAGATGGCTAGAGACTCTGCTTGCTCAGGTCCCTGTGGCAAAATCTTTCTTTGAACTTACTGTCCATTCCACAGAGCACTTTCCACATCCTGCCTTGTATTCTAAGTTATTCTTTGTATGTGAGTAAGTTGAGCCTCCTTACATTCAGTTGAAAACACACTGCGAGCAGGGAACCTTATTCACCCTTGAATCCTCCAGTGGTGCACAGGGCTGTATGCAGCTCATGCTGGTTGGTGGATGACGGAGATCTCTGCTGAATAGCTGACGTTATGACGACTGCTGTAGCCTTACTCTGTGATGACTGTGGAGTTGGAGGGGGGCAGGGCCAGTGGAGGGGGGCAGGGCCAGTGGCGGAGCCAGGCTCTCGGGCGGTGCCTTTCCAAAGTCTTCACCTCTTCACCCCTCATGGCTACCGGGCCTCAAGATGGCGGCGGAGCGCCCCGCAGCGCGGAGCTGCAGCTCCACCTACAGGAAAGGCGATTGGAGGAGGCAGCCGCTGGCGGCCCAACCACCCGCCGACCTGCTCTCAGCAGCAGCCTGGGCCCCCGGCATGCACGTTCAGTGCGCATTTCACACTGTGCCAGTTTTAGAGACCAGGTGCACCCAAGATGCAGGGGCAGATGAGAGCAAGAGAGGGGAGGAGGGAACCCATCCACCAACAGACCTGAGTTCTCCGTTCCTCGCAAAACATTTGCCTTTTACAAGCACTCAGGTAAATCCCAGCAGAACAGGGAGTGCCAAGAGAGGAAGCTGGCATTTGAAAGGCTTGCAGTATCAGCTAATTGGTCTCAAACCTAAATCATAAAAAGACCTGTATTTATGCTGCTCAGAATGAACACAGGGGGCTGTTGGGTGCGCGGTGCTAGAGAGGAGGGGCGGTGATGGGGAAAAGAGTCCGTTTTTTAAGTGAATTTATACTATTATAAGACCTGTCGCGGGTGAGTAATAAAAATGGCGATGCTAAGTTAAGCCTTGTGTTATCCTGTTTGCTCAGATGCTGCTTATGCCAGCTGTAGCCAGCAGAAAGCACTTTTCAATTTATTTTTATGACTCTTCTCTAAAAGCATTCCATTAAAGGAATATTACCCTGTATGAAGTTTGGAGGCACCAATGGCAGTTTATTTGCTTGTTGTGCTGGAAAGGGATAAACAGTTATCTGTGGTACCCATAATTTCAGTTTTGTCTTTCTCTGTCTCCGGTAAAGGGTCAAACGTGGATTCTGCCTTCTGCTCTTCTGTGGACCACCCCCTCCGTCACAGAGTTTGCCTGAACCTCGGCCACATTTCAGTCCAGTCTGATTATCAGAACCGCTGAGTCTCAAGTTTGCAGCCTGCTCCATTCATTTCCGTCATCCCATCAGTGAGGAGAAGCGTCTGCAGCCATCCTTCATATCGGGAGGGATGAGCTGAAGGAGGCAGGGAGATGTCTCCTAAGGTAGAGTCTTTCCTGGCTATCATGGCTTCCAAACCTTCTTATCTGGCTCCTTTGGCAACACATTCCACAGAAGCTGTGATGTATAAATATGGGGACTTCACCTTTCTCTCACACAGATAAAACAATTTCTAGAAGGAAAACAAAGCCTAGTGGTTGAGAGTAATGGGTTTGGAGTCAGATTGCCTAAGTTTGAAATCTCACCCTGCCACGTAGGACCTGTTATCTTAGGTGAGTTACTTAACCTCTCTGCTCTTACTTTCTTAACCTGTAGAATGGGGATGTAATAGTTCTCATCTGATAGGTTTTTGTGAAGGTTGAGTGACATCACTGATGTAAAGTGTTTAAAGAATTAACTGTCCCATAGTAAGAGCTATAAATAGTAGTCAATTTTTTTTAAACTAATATTGTTACTGAGATCTCAGTAAATCTAAGGGAAGACTAGTTTTCTGGCTCTGATTTCACTACTAACTTGCCACATCACCTTAAACTTGTCACTTCACTTCTCTGGGATAGTCATTTAAGCCCCTTTCTCATTTATGGAGGGTTATGAAGACTAGCAAATGGCAAAAATCATGACATGTGAATGGCCTTATGACTATTTATGATGGTTTTATGACCCAGATGAAGATGGTGCTAACTCATGGTGTCAGCATGTTCTTTAAGCATATTTTGAAGATCTGGCATTGGGATGTCAATTTCCGAGTGAAGTAGTTTTTTATTTAAGTAATAGAGTCTTTCAGTTGCAAGAGATCTGAGATGCCATGAAGGTTTTATTTTTAGGCAGGAATTCCTTCAACGACTGCAGTTTGTGGCTGTTCGCGGCCTGTTCTCTAACCTGCCCAGGGATGGTGGGTTCGCTCTTTTGCAGGCTCATCTTTCCTACTTCTGAGTGATAGAATGCCCTCCTTTACAGTATCTGAGATCTTCCTCTTGCTGTCACTTTCATACAGTTGTGTTGCTTCTGCCCCGTGAACCTTCACAGATGAGTCTAATCCTTTTCCGCATCACAGATCCTCAGATATTTGCAGAGAGTAGTTCTTATGTCTTTTCTGTTCTTGGCAAAACTCCTCCAAACATTTCTTACATGCCATGATGTCCAGAGGTTTCATCATCCTAACTACTTCCACTGGATGGAGGGATCCTTTATTGTCAACATCCTTTATAAAATGTGCCTGAAACTGACCACGGAATTCTGATTGTTGTTGAGATTCCTTGATTGTGAAGTTATTCTGTGTGATCAAATCTATGTGATCAAAAGTGAAAGAAAGTGAAAGGTTAGTTGCTCAGTTGTGTTTGACTCTTCGCAACCCCATGGACTGTAGGCAGACAGGCTCCTCTGTCCATGGGATTCTTGAGGCAAGAATACTGGAGTGGGTTGCCATTTCCTTCTCCATGGGATCTTCCAAACCCAGGGATTGAACTCTATTGCAGGCAGATTCTTTACTGTCTGAGTCACCAGGAAAGCTTGGTTCTCACTTTTTTTAAGTTGCTACAGAATCTTGGTCAAGTTATTTATGCTCTGTGACCATGTCCCCCTGCTAAAGTGGGAATAGTAAAACTTGCCTGCTGCATCCCTCATGGAGTTTGTGTGAACCTCAGAGGTGAGCAGGTACGTGAAGGGGTTTGAAAGAGCCCTGGGAGGAATATTGGGATGAAATTTTATGGCTCTTGAGTTTATGTGATCTGCTACAACTCTTGTGGTCTCTCCTCCATAAGCCCTGCTGTGAACCTATTCATTACTCCACATTCATAACTGTGTAGATTCATCTTGTTGACTTTTCCTGTCATTTGGGTTTGTAGAATCCTTTCAGAGTCTTGATTTTGCTAATCTGTTTCCTGGCCATCACACCCTGCTCTGTGTTACTCACAAATTCAAGAAGCCTGTCTTCTGTAGCTTTACCTAAATGATGGATCCAGATATTGAAAGTTTCCCTTCGTGAGAACTTCTGTTAGGCTCTCCTTGCCCACAACATACACAACTAATGTAACAACTGCCTCTTTCCTGTTTTCTCTCCTAGCACATATACATTTCACTCACAGAAACAGTTTCTCTTTTCTTTTAAAGATATTTGAGTAAGCACCTCCTCTTTGCCTGTAGACAGTAATACTCCTTGAGGACGAAGAATGTGCTGTGTTTACAGTTGTAGCACCAAAGGCACTGATCTTACCTTGCATACAGAAGTTAACTTCAAGGATGTTGGACCATGAGCAGAGATTTTCATATCCCCCAAGGAAGAATCAATCCTCAGTGGCCAGTGATTTGACCTGTTATGCCTATGCAATGAAACCATAAAAAGCCAAAATGATGGGCTTTGGAAAGTTTCTTAGTTGGTGAACAAATGGAAATTTGGCCAAAATGGCACACTTGCAGAGAAAGTGATGCCCTTTCATAATAAAATAATAATCTAGTAAGTGAAAAGTGAAAGTGAGAGTCACTCAGTCATGTCTGACTCTTTGTGACCCCATGGACTATAGTCCATGGAATTCTCCAGGCCAGAATACTGGAGTGGGTAGCCTTTCTGTTCTCCAGGGGATCTTCCCAACCCGGTTATCGAACCCAGGTCTCCCACATCGCAAGAGTATTCTTTACCAGCTGAGCCACCAGGCAAGCCCAAGAATACTGGAGTGGGTAGCCTATCCCTTCTCCAGTGGATCGTCCCAACCCAGGAATCGAACCAGGGTCTCCTGCATTGCAGGCGGATTCTTTACCAATTGAGCTATCAGGGAAGCCCCATGTATCTGCATTAATAATGATATTTATTTTTCTCTTCCTGACTTTACTCTGTATGATAGATTCTAGGTCCATCCACATCACTACAAATGACCCAGGTTTGTTCCATGTTATATATATATACCCTAGTGTGTGTGTGTGTGTGTGTGTGTGTGTGTGTATCTATATCTATATCTATCTATCTCACGTCTTCTTTATCCATTCATCTGTTGATGGACTCAAGTTGCTTCCATGTCCTGGCTATTGTAAATTGTGCTGCAGTGAACACTGCAGTACATGTGTCTTTCTGAATTATGGGGTTTTAAAATGGCTCCAAGCTTGACAGGAAGGAATGGGTAGGTGTTGAAAAGTTCATAATCCCTTTCCACCCAGACACTTGAGTTACTAATCATTTTCCTGTCTCAACCCGTTTTAATGTTAGGATTTCTTTTGCTTCAGTTGTCAAGTTCTCTTACCAAACAGAACTCATTGTTCACAGATCAGTGAAGAACGATTCTCTGCTTGTAAGCTTGGAAATGCGGGGAGGGAGTATTCTGAAAATGATACAGCAGAGTGTAAAAGAGTTATGAAACAAGAAAGGGAGCTTTAGAGAGAACACCACGATCATCTGACTGAGAATTAATAAAAGCTACATGTAGAGAGATGCTTTCATTATTTTTCTTTTTTGGTTTTCATGCTTTTGATTTTCCCAACTCAGCCACAGAAAGTGTTTGTGGACATGAAAACGTGTTGGCTAGATTCCCTCTTGTTACCTTTCAAGTTGTATTGTTACTGGAAATAATGTGTACCAAGTGAAAGTCTTTTTATTTGAAGAAGTTAAAACTGGTGTATGTTTTGCTGTCTTTGGTTACGGTAAGTCATTTACTAGCAGCGCCCTTNTTTTGCTTGCATTTCAGTCACTGTATTTTCAGCTTTATAATTTCATGTGATTTTTGTCTCCCCTAAGCCTGACTCCCTTCTTCGATTACCAGCTTCAGAAACCGGCACACACAATTGGGAGAGGAGTCTGGAGATTCATCCCCTCTGGACTGTAAAGATGACAAATCTCTCTCAACTCTTTGGTTAGAAAATACAATTAAGTGGACTGGAGTGGGCTCTCTCCAAAGAAAATTGGCTGGATTGAGATGTGAGTATCCTAGAAGCTGAACCAATAAAAATCAATCATTCCCATCCCCTGTGGAAATGGCACTAGGGGAAAAGTTTGCTTTGATATCTCTGTGCTGTGGACGAAACGTGTGTGATTCTTACCCAATCAATAGAAATCTCTAAAATGAAAGATTGAAGCCGTCAGGAG